TCACGCAGTTGAGAGGATTTCTAGGACTCACGGGCTACTACAGAAAGTTCGTGAAGGATTATGGAACCATCGCCAAGCCATTGACAGATATGACTAAGAAAGGCGGGTTCACATGGACCGAAGCTAGCGAGAAGGCGTTTGGGAAACTAAGAGAAGCCATGACTACAACGCCAGTGCTCGCCATGCCCAGGTTTGATGTCTTGTTCGAGGTACACACCGATGCGAGTGACATTGGGATTGGAGCTGTGTTAGTGCAAGAGGGGCGACCCTTAGCTTATCTCAACAAGGCAGTAGGCACTACACGATTGGGTCTATCGATGTACGTGAAGGAGATGCTAGCGGTTGTCGAGGCTGTAAGGTGCTGGAGGCCTTATCTATTGGGCCGACGTTTTCAGATTGTTATCGACCAGCAACCGCTTAAGCATCTGTTGGAGCAAAGGATTGTTACCCCCGAGCAGCAGAAGTTCGTGTCTAAGCTTATGGGGTTTGACTTCGAGATAATCTATCGACCTGGTCGACAGAATGCAGTAGCTGACGCACTATCCCGACGAACGAATGTAGCCGAGCTGAATGCTATCACTGGGCCAGCTTGGACTATTTGGGAAGAAATCAGGAAGGCGCAAGTAGAGGACGCCTATTGCCAGGAGCTGCGCCAATCGATAGAAGCAGGTAAGACAACTGTTATCGACTACGAGTTGCATAATGGTCTGCTTCTACACCGAGGCCGAGTATTCGTTCCCGACAGTGGGCAGTTACGTGAGCAGATCATGCAGCACTTCCATGACTCTAAAATTCGAGGCCACTCGGGTATCTATCGCACGTGGATGAGAATAGCCAACACTTTTTTCTGGCCCGGACAATAGAATACCGTCCGAGACTACATAGCACGGTGCGACGATTGCCAGCGCACTAAGTCTGACTCACGACGACCGAGCGGGCTGTTGCAACCTCTACCAGTACCCGAGGCAATCTGGGAAGACATTACTATGGATTTCATCGAGGGGTTACCGAATTCTAATGGATTTGACGGTGTTATGGTTGTAGTGGATCGTCTCACAAAGTATGCTCACTTCATACCCATTACCCATCCTTACACCGCGAAGTCGATTGCCAGGTTATTTGTGGAGTATGTGATGAAACTGCATGGAGCACCACGATCCATCATCTCTGATCGAGACCGGATTTTTATGAGCAGCTTTTAGTCTGAATTCTTCAAGTTGCAAGGGACTAAGTTGTCTATGAACTCAGCCTACCACCCACAGACAGACGGACAAACTGAGGTAACCAACCGAACCCTTGAGCAGTATTTGAGATGCTACGTCCATCAATTCCCGAAGCGGTGGGAAAACTTTTTGCCTTGGGCTGAGTATTGGTACAACACCACTTACCATGAGTCGACCAAGATGACGCCATTTGAGTTGGTATACGGGCGAAAACCCCCGACGCTGATCAATTATTCGGAGGGGAGTACAGTCAACGATGAAGTTGGTCGAGAACTAGAGGAACGAGATTTGATGTTACGTGAGCTGAAGAAAAATCACGAAGGCTCAATTAATCGAACCAAGGCCTTCGCAGATGGGAAGAGGCGTGAGGAAAATTTTGCACCAGGTGAGTATGTCTACCTGAAGCTACGACCATTCAGACACCGCACAACAGCACAAAGAGCCGCAACTAAACTAGGCGTTCGCTATTACGGGCCTTATCAGATCCTGAAGCGCATTGGTCAGGTAGCATATCGCCTAGAGTTACCTGAAAGTTCACAAATTCACCCAGTTATCCATGTCTCACAACTCAAGAGGAGTTTAGGGGAAGCACAGAAGTATTGTGAGGAGTTACAAGCAATTGCAACCGACGGAAGGGCTATAGTACGTCCAAAACGAGCGATAGAGTACCGTAAGGTAAAGAAAGCAGGACGCTATCGTTGGAAAGTACTAGTTGACTGGGAAGAGTTGCCATCCGAAGAAGCCACGTGGGAAGATCTTGAAGAGATGCGCGATCAGTTCCCGAACTTCATCCTTGAGGACAAGGATTCACTTGAAGGGGACGAGAATGATGCGGAAGTGGCTAGGCAGCTCACGAACGCTGCAAGCCGGGCATATCACGCACGCAAAAGGCTGGCCCGAGAGACGACAGAGGTACGCGCACTGGAGCGTAGTGCACGCGGGACAAGCGAAGATGGCCAGCACGCGGGAGTACGGACGATGGGTGCGGCAGGCGCACACCACAGATGGGCCTGGGGCGCGACAAGTACGGGCATACGTGTAGCGCGCGGCAGTAGTATGTGCGAAGCGATGGGCGCAAGCGCTGACGGGACGCGGGCGATTGGCGGAGACGCGCACGCAGAAGGGATGGACGAGCGGGGCGCGCGGAGCGCGCATGACGAACGGCACGCACGGAGCTGGATGCCGCATGCCTCGAGGAATGTGGACTGGCGGGGCACCACGCGCATGATGAGGCGGTTGGCAGCGAAGGCGCGCGCGACATGACATGCGGGCATGCACGCGCGAAGGAGACGGTGCCCTAGTCCTCGAGGACTAGGGCAAGGCGAGAGGCGGTGGCCGACTTGCGCACGCGTAAGAGAGAGAGAGAGGCGGTTGGAAGACTTGGTGTGCAAGCCAAGATATTTAGTTCCCTTATTCCATTATGATATCTAGCTTAGTTAGGATACTTAATATTTTATTGTTTTCTTAGAGTTATAGATATATTAGGATTAGATCTATTTGGTGCCTATATAAAGGACCATCCCCCATGTTATTTTTAATCATCCAATAAGTCAATAGAAATCTAGAACTTTGTTCTTCCAACTTTGCTTTAGTCTTTTCACCAAAATACTATTGCAATTTTATTCGTTCCAAGAGGCGCTGTTGTGGCTCGAAGAACACCTATCGGCGATTCAAGGCGCGGGTTAGCGGCTTATCGGTAGTCGAAACACACGATCCTCATCACCGAGGGGCGTCGCGCACTGCCTGTCTGCAGCAGCAGTCGCTGGCAGTGCCCAGCGGCACGCCAGCCAGTCGCCGTACACGCTAGCGTGCGCGTGCATATCCCAGTGGCTTGCTACGGCGCACGGTAGCGCCCAGCAGCACCAGTTGTGCTTGCGCCCGCGCACATAGCGCGGGGCAGCGCCCAGTTCGACGCTGTGTTGCGCCAGGCGCATGCGCGCATCTCAGTCAGCCTCCAGCTGCACCAGTTGTACGTCAGTCATGCCCAGCGGCACGCCAGCGCGCGCCAACGCGCACGCCCGTGCCCAGGGACTGCCCAGCAGCAGTCAGCACGGCCAGTCCAGCCAGTGCCCGCAGCCAGCCAGGCAGCGCCTGTGCGCGCAGCCTCGGCAGGCCGCTGGCCGAGCCAGTGCCCGACCACCCGACCCAGCAGATAGGCGGTCCAGTCCAGACCGGTTCAGCCCGGCTGGACCGGTTCAGCCTATAAATTTCATGTTTTAGTCTCGATTCTTGATTTCAATACCATTTTCAGTTAAAATTCCGGGTCCAGTTCAGTTCAGTAAATTAATATCAGTTCAGTTCCGTATTTAACCGGTTACAGTTATACCGATTAAATCCGAATATCATGTCAAGTCTAGTAGAGCATCTTAACATAATTAATCAGTTAATTTATCAGTCTGAGCATAGTCATTAGTAATTGTTTATATTATATTTCAGTTTGATCAGGCATCAGTCGTCAGCACTACCTTTCATTTTCACGGATCAGGTGGGGACTCAGACTAAGTACTACATTGATTATAATTACGCTACCATGTTTGAGGTATGTATTATCAGTATCCGCTCGGAATGGTCGTCGGTCCATTCTAGGTTCTAGTGGTCCTAATCTGCCCATGGTGTCCGGTATTAGTTTGTGCTGGCAGATGTTTAGTTATCAGTCAGGTGATTTATATCACGAGATCAGTATCAGATTATTCAGTACCGGTATCAGTTATCAGTTCAGTTTCAGTTCAGTTATATATGCCAGGATCATGATATTGTAATTATTTTCAGTGTTTTACTTTAGTATGAGTTTCTGCGGAGCACAGTGTTTTAGTGCTCACGCCCCCACGTATTTCATGTTTTTCAGGTCACCGAGGCGGGGACGAGGAGTGAGCTGACGAGCTGTTCAGGATATTTGTTTTTATGTATATGTTATGTTTTGTCTACGTTACTATTCCGCTTCAGTTTTCGGTACTTAAACTCAGCTTTTCATCCGACATTAGTCGGTTAATACATTATATAACTGTTTTTATTATCAGTTTAAAATTAACGGTTTTTAGAAAAGTCAGATTTTCACGGTAACACTCCGAATCAGTTTTCGCAAAAAGAAATATTTTATTTACTTTATTTTAGAAAATTTGCGAAAAAGCGTACTCTGATTTCAGTAAAATAGCGGGGTGTTACAGTTCCTTAGGTCTGGAGGGTCGTTTTGATATATAGAAGTCGAAAAACGGAGCTAAAACGAGTGAAAACGAACAAAAATAAAAAAATGGTCAAAGCAGTCGCGACTCGCGAATTGACTGGCGAGAAAAACAAAGACCGACTGCATTAAAACATAGGGAAACTTGCGACTCGCAACATTTTTGCGAGTCGCGACTCTCATGTCGCGAGTCGCGACTTTGCTCACGCGAGTCGTGACTTTGGACTGCACTGCGCTACTTTACGTTTCGGGCTCGTTTGGACTCGTCTGAACTTAGAATTGAGTTTCGTTTCTTTCTACGCGTCGCTAACGAACCCCTCTATCCAATTATGCTCTCGAAACCAACTTTTCCTGAAGAAAAAATTCGCTTGAAGCTCCCGACCTACACACCAAAAACGACAAAACACAAAAGAAAACCGTAAAAACAAACGAAAAACACCTAAAGACTCAAAATGAAGAAAACAGATTATAAAACATGAAACGGACTAAAAACTAAAGAAATGACCTAAAACGAGGAAAAAGAAAGATAAAATAAAAACAATAATACAATAAAAATGGGATAAACAATTAACCTGTTGAAAGCAAAGTGGTGCCCTTCGTTAAGGGTTCGAGGGGGCCCACAATGCGGTTTTTCGCAGAGAGTGATGACCATCCTCGAGAGCCAAGGAATGGACCACAAGAAGACTAGCATAACCATGGGCAAGGGAGACTAATTAAAGAAGTATAGCAATTGGCCCACGTCTCTTCAGGTTTTCGTGAGTCGAGACATATTTAGACACTAATCGAAGTGGTATATTTAGTGACAATTCTTTATTTATGGTTTCAACGTACCTTTTTTCATTATTTTTTCATAATTTTTAATTACAAAAAACAATCTTTTGGCGTAAAATAAAAATTCTAATGTGAGTCGGTCGTGCTGTGCACGGCGATGGCCTGCTAGTTTTATAATATAAATAATAAATTATTTATATTATTAAGATTAATTTGATTAATTGATCAAGCAAGTCGCTTATTTAAGATTGATTTTAGTTTGTTGTGGATTAAATTATTAAAAAATGTCTGCACTGCAATTGCACAATAGTGCTAGACGAATTGTACTTTCATGATTATTATAGTGCACGATAAAAACCGAAACTAGTTGACCTTAAATTATCGATTTAAAATTTTATATTAAGGTTCGATTATCTACTTTTATTTTTAAATTAATGTTATTTCAATTCGATGTCGACTTTATTTTTTAAGATTACCGAGATAGCAAAAAAGACCGAACATGTAAAAGATAATATTACTGATTTTTAAGGTGTGCGTGGCATGGTTTATATTGCTCAGTACCAAAAATTAAAGAAATACACAGAAAAAATACAATACATTTTCATTCATTTTTCTTGTTTTTCCCTCTGGTCTGAATATACAAAAATGAAAAGAAAAAAAAAAAAAAAAGAAAAATCTTTGTCATACGAATTAAATGGCATCTTCTCAAGAAATGTATTTGCATGTAGCGGTACCTGGGAAATTAATTAAAGGCAACCACTAAGTCAGAAAAGAATATAATGTGTAGCACATATATATATATATATATATATATATATATATATATCAAAGTTTTAATTTAATCAGCAAGTGATACATATATAATATAAGTGGGAAATACTCTGGTCCCGTTATGAAGCCATTCCGTCGGGATTCGTAATCATTAGATCATCATGTAACCATCGAGAATAATTGATCTAACGTTTACAAACTCCGACTGAATGGTTCTGTAACGGGACCTTAATTAGCATCTCACTGTGTATGTATGCAGCTTGAAGCATGAAGGGTAGTACGTACTTGGATTGGTAGTTGTAACAATTGCAGAGCCGGAAAAGTCACAGTTGAAATCAACGAGTCCTTTAGCATGATACCAAGAGTTCATGGCGAAGGAGGCATGATCCCTCACAGTGTTGGGGTTGAAACATGCCCCGCCCGGGTTGATTGGCTTACAGTCTATACCTTGGCTGCAAACATAGTCTAAGGCTCTCTGCAGCGCACCATCGCTCGCCTCTGCCTTGGGCACGCACCATTTATTATTACCTCCCGTTGACGGGGGTGCTGGCCTCGGAACATTCTGCATAGTGAATTTATATATCGAAGTACTTATAAAATCAATTATTAATAATCAAAGGTAGGTAAGGTAGGTAGGTACGTACAGGAGCAGGTCCCCCTCGCATGATGCCAGCATTATAGACGGGTGTGAAATCTGGGCGGAAGAGGCCGAAGTTGCGCTCGGCCACAGAACCGGGCTTCTGATTCTCGTTGAAGAGAGCAAAGACGTAGGTGTCGAACCTCCTCCTCGGCATGAGAGGCGTCCCCTTCCCGGAGTTGTAGAACCTCACGACCCCAGCATTGTACGACTCGGCATTTAGCACCGAGCATTTTGTCTGCTCGTCAGGCGTCTCCCCCTGCGAAGCCCACCCCGTCTCCCCTACTGCAATCTCCACGTCTCCGTACCCCAGCTTCAGCATCGAAACGTACACCGAGTCGAGCAGCACCTCGTACATGTTTCCGTACGTCCTCCTCGTGTACCTGTCGAACACGGGCTTCCCAGGCCGGAAGAGGGCCATGCTGGCCTTCTGGGGGGTGTACCCGAAGTAGGGATACGGGTTGACCATGAAGGGCGTCCGAGTCTCTCGGTGGTACTGCAGCATAGGGGCCAGAACCCCGTGGTCCCACCCGGCCCGGAACCTCGCTAAGCTGGGCAGGTCGGTCGGCTGGAGGATGGCGAGGGAGTGCGTGGTCGTGACCCTGATGTCGGTGATGCCCTCCTGCAAAAGGGCCTCGTGTAGGGACCGCATGGCCTCCACCAGGTTGTCGATCAGCTCCTGCGGGCCCCAGTGGAGGACCTCGTTCCCGACCAGGAGGTAGTTCATCCGGGTGCGCGGGTGGTACGGCTTCACGTTGGAGGCCACCCAACCGCGCGCGTAACCGACCGACGTAAGGCTCGGGATCTCGCCGTTGGGGACGGTGACTGCCACAAGAATGCCAGTATCCGCAAACGCACGCAGGATGTCTGGGTTGGCGTCGAATATTTTGATGCGGTCGATGCTGGTCCGCTCTTTGAGGAACTGGGCCACTTGAGCTGGAGGAGGGAGATTTTCGCCCAAGGTGCCGTAGTTGACGCCGATCGAGTGGACCGCAGTGGCAGCCGTCACGAGGAGGAGGAAGAGGACCACCAGCACCGCCATTATAAAGCTTCTCGACCGGACAATTCAATCAAGGTTTGGATGAATATATGGAAGAAAGATCAGATCAGATCAATTGAGGGAATTAATGAAGGCATATATATATATATATATATATATATATATATATATATAT